AAAACGAACTTCTCGCACAAAAAACGACACCGCCGTACATAGAAACCACCGATCTCTTCACTGCATTGGACCCAGATTGACCACATCACCATCATTCTATTTCACCTGTTCGCCGAGCTTGGCAATTTGTTTGCTAACGTCTCATCACCAGCCGAGGTGACCTCATGAGTGCCTGTGAAGTGGCCACTTCACCCGAGCTACGAGAACCGATTTTCAATACTTTGTCAACATCGCTATCAGTTACTGCTGGAGTGGTTAGATTCAAAACTGCCGTTCTTACTGGTCCATACCTGGGGATATGGATCACGCTTTGCTACCAGCCAAATTCCCCCTATGAGACATCTGTGGCGCCGTCGCGACATCCGGTTGTCTGTGAAGGGTCGAGTGTATGCTGAGTATTCGGCCAGTCCTGCTCTACGGTGCAGAGACTTGGCCACTAAAGGAATAGGATAAAAATAGTCGACCAGTTCTGCTGTATGGCGCAGAAACTTGGCCATTAAGGAAACAGGACAAAGATTGGCTGTCGGTGTTTGAACATCGCTGTCTACGCAGCATTGCACGAATCTGGTGGGGTAGTCGGACGAGGAATGCCGAGATTAGGTATAGAGTTTTAGGTAATCGCGGTCGCCCACTGGAGCAAGTTGTTGACCTCCACAGATTATGTTGATTGGGGCATGTGTTACGCATGCCATCAGATGGGTTGCCACGGCGAGCGGTGTTTGCCGAGGCAGGTATGGGTTGGGGATTTCAAGGGTGATCAAGGTAGGACTTGGTATGAGGGTATGAAAACCGTAACCAGGAGTCTAGGTCACACATGTCCCGTTAGGCTCCTTGGCTGGGGACCTCAGGATGGTCATACCCGATGGTAAGAGACACTGAGTGATAAAGCTGAGTGTCGTAAACAGTGGTGTTCGTACATCTTTTCAATATCTCTGCAACATTAGTCCACTGAAATCCTAAATCTTCTCCTTAATCCTACTTTCAACATTTCCTGTCTTGCATGTTCATCCAAATGGGAAGTCACAAGACAGCAACCAAAACCGGCGCACGAAAATGCATGGTTAATGTTTGTACAAACTAAAACTGAAACTGAGCTACTGGACGCGCAGAACTAGAGGAACTTTGGTAATATTATTGGTAATTTTTTCGTTTATGGTCATCATGGAAGTGGAAATAGCAGACATGTGGAGGTTAAATTTTGTAGTGTCTTTTCTATGCCCTCCTCTCGTAAATAACTCACATGTTGATGAGGAATGATACATAAATATCAGCCAATGTCGAGTAGACCACCAACTGTCACCACAATCCTTTGTGTACCGTCAAATAGAATAAGCTTCACAATCAGTGGATGCCTATCGTGGACCTTAATTTTCGTGTATTTTTTTATTACACACCAGTGGGTGATAAGCAGTAGACGAACTGAACCCGACATTCACAAGGAGCTGCTGTTCACCGGTAACTAAACCTTGGGGTGGCGAACAATATAAGGTCCCGAAAGGTTAGGCGTGGTATTGAACTGGAATACAGTAAAGCTGCCTACCAACAAAGTGTGTGTTTTGTGTCTTTCCAACTAAACAATGAAATAAACTACTAAAAGGTGATCTAGTAGATGCACAGGATAAACTAGCTTAAATAATATCAACCTGTAAAATTGTGGATCTCAATGATTAGTTTTCGGGGTTAACTTTATGAAACCTTTCATCCAACAGCTGCGGTATCACACGATTGATTTTTCTTCTATATACGCTAGCGAATAACTAAATTAAGCACCAATAGTAGCGATACTAATAATTTTCGATGGATTCACCATTATTACTGTGTATGCATTGCAGCTCATTGTTATTGCGGTTGCTCGTCACCTAAATGTGTGCTATAAATATGTACTACTCACGAGTAGTTTGACTGCTTTTGAAAAATGATTTTGCAGGTTTTCATCCCATCCCAAACCAGCGTGAAAACATTATGCTCTCAAGGTGAGAATTTTGATCGAATAAACGTATATCGATGATTCAAGCAATTCAGAACTTCTTTAACATATTTTTGAATTATTGAATTTTTACCATATCCCTCACAAACGTTTCGCGTTGTTCTCTTGAAAGAAGTCGCTGTGGATCTTCATGCATAACGATGAGCGATACACCATCCAAAGAAAAGTTGACAAAATTTATCGAGTCATGTCGGGATCAGGTTTAAAAGAAGATGAGTATCCAACACTGAGAGACCAGAATGATGAGATTATCACTAGGATGGAAAACGGATTATTTAGGCACTCACAAGCACCATTTGATGTTAATGAAAACAGTCTGAGGGAGTACAAAACTGGTAAATACCATCGTCAAGCATCAAGGATTGGTGAGTTTAGTTTCCAATTATAGATTATTGCCGAAGTAGAAATCAATGTACGGGACTTCAAAAAAGATTTTTAAGGAGGATACTGACGGACGACAGCGAATTACCGGTTGTAATAATCAAATTGGTTGGAACAAAGGAAATCAGAGTTCATATTGACACGAATAACGTGAAATCACCTAGAACACATCATCATCTGGAATTTCCAAGTATATCCATTTATTGACAGGGTCAGTCAAACGGACAGCAGCATAAATTTATCTATCGGACGTGCAGATCTGGGCGTGACCACGATGTGCGCGTAAGTAGACAGTCATCGCTGAGGATAAACAATGAAATCCACGCGTTCGTAAACTAGAGCTCAGAATGACTAGTTTGAATCACTGACGTCACCGATGTAATTTGTAGCTTGCCAGTGGTTGGAACAGTTGCGTAACTAATGTCAACAACCAACTGATAGTTAAGAATCAGTCCGACAGTTGGATTAATTCAAATACCGTAACTAATAAAGTTATTTTACTTGTCTCTCGCGTTATAGCAAACGCTTTACAATTCAACAAGTGCATTTAATTACGGCGCTGTGAAGGAATTAAATACTTGGTCGGTTTTAGAACTTGATACAGTTGGGATATTTCGTCACAATACTCTGTTTATGGTTGTTCTATAATACTATTTTGTAGGGTAAATGCGTTCAACCCAACAATAAGGTCAATTTTCGACGCTTTGATGGAAAATAGTATTTGATTGACCGAATACTGCCTTAAATATTGAACCAATGTCAGCAATTTGACTGTTTTTACCAAAGTGACAGCTTTCACTCAGCTCTACGCAAAAGTGGATTGTTAGAAATCTAGCAATAAAAACACTTATCGGGAGATCTCAGTTTGGGTGGGTCATTCTACTGTTTAGATTGAGTTCCTTTCTCATAATATCCATTCGCTTAGATACGATCAAATCTTTTTTTCTTTTATGTCAACCATTTGCCTTAAATTAACTATCGGATTGTTTCTAGATGAAAAACGGAGAAGTTTTGAAAAAGCACGGGGCAAAGCATGAGTCCATTTAAACTAAAAAGTGTCACGTTTACTCTGAAAGGATAATCAACTGTTTTGTATCATTGCGAGACCTGGCTCGCATGCACTCCAATTCGCGAACAGGAGGACGATTTTGTTCAGTCCGGTTTGCACGTGTCAAATGGTAAATCGATTCTAGAGGAAGGCGTAGGGGGGGGGCTGGAATAGTGATCACTGTTCTTGTCAGTGATGAGGTTTTCTCTCCAGTCCAGTTTGTCTCTCGAATTGATCTATCACACTTGGATCGAAAGGGTGTGGATCAATAAAAGCTAAAATGGATTTTGCGCTTATCTCTCAACACGATACAGTTGGATCGATACGGCTAAATGTGAAGTCAAGGTTGAACTGGTTAGTTAAGCTGTTTAAATAATTAGATTTACTTCGTATTAGATAACAGTGGAAGAGAAACAAGTTGATCTATATCCAATATCATTAACAAAAAGCTGCTTACAAGTACAGTACGTGATATAAAAATTCAATGTGTCGTTTTGTTCTGAAAATCATGAAATCTAACAAGCTTGTTAAATGGGATTAAGATTCATTACTGTTGATTCCCGTATGTATCGTTGAAATCTAATCAGATTTGGTATTTGTGTACCCTACCATCAATATTTACACGTCATATGAAGGGGACTGACAATCTACGTCTGTTCCGCATACCACAAAAAGTGCACAGGACGTTTTGTGTTCAACCTTGAGATGAAATGCCCCAAAGATCTGAACATCTTATTCCGCTTATGGGATTATTCCAGAGTTTTGCTTGGTTTATTTTCTGGTGAGATTTCTTTACAGAACCAAAGGTACAGGCTTGGATACGCGATTGTATAAAACGGTTTCACATCTGTTTATTTCGTGAATATCACATCAAAATTCTCTAGAGATGTTCTGATTTGAAATTCTCTCTTTAAATATCATAGTGATCTGACAATTTTAGGTGTTTTATCATTTTCAGCTAATTCATGACATCCTCAAACTTCATCCCTACATCCTTTGTCTACGTCCAGGAACGGTCAAATGTAAGTACCGGAATGGTGCCAACCAAAGTTTACGTAAAGCGCGGGGTTAGTAATGGATACACTCTTTGTACGGTTCTAAGTCGGAGTGTAAGAAAACATTATGCAACTAACTCAACTGTTCCATGAAAGAATGAGGTGCGCATAACTATTCCATCCCATGGATTAAACACACCATAGTGATTCTTGGTCGCCGTAAAAACATGCTCACATAGCATTGAATGATGAAAATTTGTCGGTAATTTTTCGCACCTAAACTGACCAAATCATGAAACGAAATGACCAGCTGACGCTGATGAAACGAAAACATTCAAAATCATTCGGCAAATTTGACCAAGCGCTTTTATAAGCAGCTTTTCCACCTTCCTGACGAACCACAAAGACTGCGAATAATAAAACACCCATTGAAACGAATACTCTAAGGTTTTTAGTGATTTATGAGAATTTCTGAGATTCCGATAGTCGGTTTTAAAGTAGTTTCACTTTATGGGAATATCACTCAATAATACAGTATGTGACCAAACAAATACCCAGCATTCTGCCATTGGCAACGATGAGAGAAAGAGAGGAGATGTGTAACCAGAAATGACGTTTAGACCCGTGGTCTTCTGAAAAACAGAATTTTGGCAAAACCTTCAACAAAATCAGAAATATCCAACTTGTCTTTCAAGTTCTCGTATGCTTACCATGTGTTCATACACGTAAAACGCCTCGTATTCGGCTAATATCTGGTTATTAAATCCAACTTCCAAATCCAGATGCAATCGGAACGGATCATTCAATTCCAGTGACGTAGTCGCGATACACAAAGTTGCTGTGAAATGAAAACGGTAAGAATTTTCCGGGTTATTAAGATGCATAAAGTAATGGAAGATGACTATGGATCTCTACCAATCTTCCGGTATCTCCATCTACTTACGAAATCTGCCAACTAAACGTTCAACAGCGCTATACTCCCAGCTTAGAAAACTATCAATAACATCCAGTGTCGGGCTACAGGTGGCTGATGCGCTTTCAAAAACAACCATTGTTTCAACCACCTAAATGCACTGAATACTATCAGGATTCGAAAAACCTGGGCAAAACCACGACTGTCTAGCGCTTAATATACAAGTTTTGATTTGATACTATCTTATAGATGTGAACCGAGAATTAAGAAACGTGCTACAAGGGGTATCAAGTGAATATATTCAAGGTATAAGATGATTTTTCAAAAGTGGTCTCCACCACTTTACATGATGGACCAACTTCTGATGATCGGTTACCATGTCTACTGCAGACCGCTCGAAGTTTGGTCAACTGAGCCAATACAACAGTCGTTTGTCCATAAAGATTCGTCTGTGTCTCAGGCCTGTTCGCTTGAGCCTTAAGCGAAAACCTCACCAGCAACGATGGAGTCGAAAACAGAGTATTGTTTAGTCGAGGTCATCTAATGAAGTAGATGTCCGTGGACACCTTTGGCATCGGCTGATACACGTGTGATTCATACTACTAAACTCCTGGGCGAGACCTATTTTCTTTACTGAAAAAGATAGCAGTTGAAAGAACGGTTAGGTCGATCAATCTGCGCCTTAAAAAAACGCGAAACGTAAGAGTGAGTCAGGGAGACCATGGCACGCAAAAAAAAGAGAATAAACTCCATGGTTGGGGTCGGTTATTTATTCATGAGTNTTGGAGCGGATGTATCTGTCATACATTCTAGCCCCCTACTGAAAGGCCTTTAAGGCAGTTCAAGCAAATAACAATTTTTTCGATGTTACATTTACATTGTACAATCCTAGTTATTATACAGACGAATCCGTGGTCGAAACTATTTAAAGCTCATGATAAACAAACTGACAATGAAATCAGTGATAAGGCCTCCGTGGAAAGAGAACGATCCTTCAAAGAATCAAAATGTCCCCAAGAATTCAGTTGAGTGGTACGAGATTAAATGAGAAGAAATTGATTCATTTGGCAATGTCAATAAATCGCACATGTATCACTGGAAAACCTCACTATACGGCTATTTAGGACTCGCCGGTAATNGTAATGTTTATTTTCACGGCTAGCTCGTGACAGCTCGAACCCCGAATGCATGCAGGGCTATGAGTCCTACAAATGCGACCACTAGGTTACTAGGTTAGGATGGGATCTCCGGTGGCTGGTGGTGCTTCTAAAGCTCTTTTTGAAATAGAACAATACAGAATTCAATGATTATACCCGCGATCAAATAAAGATGTCGACAACAACAGTAGTATACTGATGATCTAAAGAGAAACAGGATAGGGGATTATCATACAGTCAAGTGCCCAATAAATTTCGGTAAAATCAACAAACAAATACATCTGCATGAATAGCTCAAAGAACAGACGCGGATGAGGGGTCGGTCTAAGCACTGTGTCGATATGAGAAAACCACGCTACATTTCGAATCTTTCTCCTAGGTGACGCAATAACATTGTACTGGCAAAATGACCATACAACGAACATCAACAGTCAGTGATTTAAGATCTACAGGTTTTAAAATAATTTATGAACCGAACGCCACAGTTATAGAAGCTTGGCAGCAATGTAGAAAGTGAAGCGGAAGATTACAAGGAGTTGCACCAGTTGAGTGCCGAGTGAACTCTAAATCCACCAACTGAACAACGTGAACTGACTGTGTCATTGCACGAACACCATGAAATTATCCATAGGGAGGGGGGTTGATAATGAAACCAAAGCAACCAATGTAGCTCCGTATTACTGAACGGTGATTTTCTATCTGTTAATTAAAGAAAAAGAATAACATCAACTCTACGGGATCTTCTTTTCCAAGGGTTTGTTTACCGTCAAAAGTTCGCCTCTACCACGTGAAAGATTTCGTAGATGAATGCTTCGATTCATTTTTACTTTTGCCCTTCCATCCGCCTTAATCGTTAGCCACAATCCTCATTGGGCGACAAATGCAACTACTGTTATTTAAAACAATTATCTCTTCGACTAGGTAAATGGGTTAACTTATTCGTGTTTGTGATAGAGTTTAACTGCTGAAGAAATTCAGCTTGATATGCGGGAGTAAATCTGTCGCAGTCACTAGAAACTATAGTGAAAATGATACCTTTAACTAATCTTACTACATAATCGAGATTTCAAAGAGAGAGAGAGTGAACGTTAACAGCAGTTGTAATAAGTTTGGCTTTCTCCATCAGGTCAAATAGCTAACTCGAGGTTGACTTAACGAACCCGGAGCCGAAAATGCACACATTCGGATGAATCCAAGATGTTTACCATGTTACAAATGAAGGGCTAACAGAGCCCCGTCCCATACGTATCCTACTGCATTCTATCACACCGATGGTAGTTGATTAGGTTAAGCCTTGATGCGAGGAATCAACCAGTTCTGTATCGTTCGTAACATCGATACCCAGGTCATCAGTATACACAGCTGACAAAACGAGAAAAAAACCACCCTAGTGCATTTGTTCATCTCAGTTCGACCTTTATCATGAAGGTGTTCGAAGGCTTGTCGTTTTCGTTTCATTCTTACGGTTAACC